AGACTCTATCGTCGGGTTCTTTAATATATTTATATTCAAGAAAATAATTAGTAAAATCTTATACTAGTTTGATAAAATTTATTTTGATACAGATCTTTCAATAATTTGGTTTGAACCTCGGACTGAATAAGATGTTTAGAGCAATTTTTGGGTTTTGGGGTTTTTAATGGTTTTTCGGATCCTAAGCAACTTTTAGGTGTTGGGGCTTTTAGTGATTTTTGAAGTTTTGACGATTTCGAGTGATTTTTGGGCTTTTAGAGATTTTAATGACTTTTGTGGTTTCGATGACTTTAAGGTTTTGGTTGGATTTCAAATAATTATTACTTTTTGTATTATCATAAATCAAATGTTTTTGTGCATACAAATTTATTCAAAATAAAATAATATTAATTTATTAATATTACGAAAGTTAATAAGTAAAATATAAATTTGTATTTTGATACAGATCTCCCAATAATTTGGTTTGAACCTCAAACTGAATAAGATGTTTAGAGCAATTTTTGGGTTTTGGGGTTTTTTAATGGTTTTTCGGATCCTAAGCAACTTTTGGGTTTTGGGGCTTTTAGTGATTTTTGAAGTTTTGACGATTTCAAGTGATTTTTGGGCTTTTGGAGATTTTAATGACTTTTGTGGTTTCGATGATTTTAAGGTTTTGGTTGGATTTCAAATAATTATTACTTTTTGTATTATCATAAATTAAATGTTTTTGTGCATACAAATTTATTCAAATTGGATTTCAAATATTATTACTTTTGTATTATCATAAATCAAATGTTTTTGTGCATACAAATTTATTCAAAATAAAATAATATTAATTTATTAATATTACGAAAGTTAATAAGTAAAATATAAATTTGCTTACTGAACAAATTTAAATAATGATTATTATTTTAATAATTATCAATTTTAAATAATTATGACATTTTATTTTGTTATAAAATAATTATTTCTGATTATGTAAACTTATTGGAAATAAATTAATTATTTAAATAATTATTTATTATAAATAATTATGACTTTTTGTTCAAATATAATATTAAACGAGTTTTATCTAACATAGGGGATACGGGGGTAATTCAAAATTTTTATTCTTTAATAGGAGTAGTTTTAAACTTGTTTGTCTAATTGGGTACTTTAGGCCATAATGCCGTGTCATATTTTTTAACATTTGCCGGGGTGGCAGGAGTATCGCCAAGGCCATTGCAGAAGAGGGAGTTCTCGAGGCTCAGCGGCCGCGTCTAGAGGCATCAGCGACCCCAGAAACAAGCTGACCACAGGAGAGGGAGACGCATGGAGTAGATCTTGTTGGGCGGAAGCTTGGGTGGGCACATCAATAAACAGTTTGAGAAAATAAAGAGAAGAGAATTATGCATTTTAATATTACGAATGAAAAAAAATAAATCAAGTTAAATGTCAAGAAGGATCTTTATTCATTAATCACTTGAGTCAATTTTATCGATTATAGTAATTTAAGCCTGCATGCGTAGGGCATTCATCAATGGTGGTCTCAAGGCTTTAGTCAAATGAACCAAACATTGAAGCTGTAGATGTGAAACAGTAAAACTGTCTCTAAACTTAAAATAACAAATAGAACTTCCTTCGTTGAAATTTCTGCGAGATTTTTTTATTTTATTCTATTCATATATAACTTCCTTTTATACTATGGTGGTAAGCACTCACCTTCTAAACCATTAAGCCGATGTCAAACTGTCTGCCATTATAGGAGTACCTTGGAGAGATTGCTGCTCCAATATCATTCTTGTTGTTGATTCGGACAAAGCCAGAGCAAAGCAAGCTATAGCATCCAAAGGCTTTGTATGGGTCAGTCTGTAAATTGAAAGTTGATTACCAGTTGCTTATTTGATGCCTACTCAGCAAGGTCAACTCCATGCGCTTCCCTCCCCGGGGTAGCTTCAAGCTTCCACCCAATAAGGCCTATTTCATGTGTCTCTCTCCTCTTTGCTAAGTGACCTTAAATGAATTATTTTTAATAAAATATTTGCCCAATATGTTATAAAAATAAATAAATTAATTATGTTAGATTGACATAATTTTAAAAATTTCAAATTATACTAATAATAATTTAAAAAATATATTTTATAAGATTATTATTATTATTTATTGTCATTTATCTAAAAAAATGTTATTAATTCTGTTCAATTAAGTGTTAAAACATTATTTTGGTATGTTTTATTATTTTTTAAAAAATATAATTTTATTTTTAATAGGATTTAATTTTATATACTTTAATCAAAATTTATAAAAATAAAAAATAAAATTTAATAAAATAAGAGTATGGAAAGTAAATAAAATTAGGGTGGATCCAAATTATTATTTTTTGCTATTATATCAAAATGTATTTATTAAAAATGAAATAAAATTTTTAAAATTATTAAGAAAGAAACTAAAGTACTATTTTTGCCTCTAATTTAAATTGAATTTTGAATATTATGAGAAAAATAATAGTAATGTTTCATTCTTTAAATTTTTAAAAGTTTTATTTAGTTTTTTATGAGAAAACTATATTGACATTCTTTTAAAAAATTGGAGACTTTTATGAAATCAAAATGAAACTCCGATGAAACATCAGGACTACAAATTCGCTTTACCCCAACTTTTACTTTGAAAAGACAAAAACTCTTTCTTTTTTTTTTTTCTTTCTTTTTTTATTTTTATCCACTCCATCAATAGCAGATCTACAATTTTTTTAAAGTTGTCTACTTATAATATATACTTTTAATATATATATATATATATATATACTTATAATATATATATATATAATTGTTGATAGATTTACCAAATTTATAATGTTCAGAGAAATTTATTTTTATTTTTTTTGTTTCTCATTTTTTAAGGTATCTAAAGAAAAATTTTGAGAGTGACAATAATTTTTCTTTTAAATTTTTTTTTTTTTCAGTTTTAGCGCGTATCCATGAACATTCTCCCATTAAAGATGGATCTACCACTGTACTAAACACTTGCTAACAGGAACACTAATCATCTAGAGTCTAGCCGTCCCATTGTGAATGGTTTCGGGCATACGACACAACCCATGAACATGAAGGAAAGGGCAGCGTATAGAGTAAGTATTGTACGGAGTAAAAAATATTAATTGAAAAAATTAAATATCGATTCGAAATTATAATATTTATTTTAGATTTTTATATATATTTTTATTTGGTTTGAATTAAATTTAAAAATTAAATTCATATATATATATATTAACTTTGGATTAAAAATGAAAAATTAAAATATCAAATCAAATCAAATTATGTATTTTTATTCATTTTTATATATTTTTTAAATTTTGATAAAATAAAAATAATTATTTTATATTTAAATTTATTTAAATATATTAAAAATTATATTAAAACAAAAAATAAATTTAAAAAAATGATGAACTGAACGAAATCAAATCAATAAAATTCAATTTAGATTGAATTGGTTTCAACTGAATATTAATTCAGATTTGAATTAAATTTTATAATATTATATGTTAATAAAAAAAATCAAATCCGATTTGAATTATTATCATTTATCACTCCTAATCTAGGCTATTAGTAGTAAATAGTACTATACCTTATACCCTATACCACTATTACTAAGAGACCAGAGAATAAGACTGTAAGAGTAGTATTAGCATGCTTCTTATGTCACGGGTCGAAACTCAACTTTCAGACTCGTGCAGCTCCAAGATTTGGACATGCATTCATCCGATATTTCGAATTAGTTTATTTATCCGATTTACACCCTTATGAAGTATTATCTACTTTGACCCCTCTAATCTCATAATTTTATTCTACAAAAGGTACATCACAAGGGGAATGTAGTGTGAACCCTTTATATCCTAAGACTCACTTTAGCATTCAACTAATGTGGGATTCTTGGCTTCACTTCAAGACTGTGACATTCTCCTCCATTCTAACGATGGCTCATCATTCTTAGTAGCACATCATTAGTACCCTCAGAGTCGACTCTGATATCAACTGTTATGGACTCCGACCTAAGACTTAAAATCCGTGTGACTTTAGGTTTAGAATCAACTCTTTCTAATCTAAGTCAACCTAAAACATAAGCGTGCAGGCACTAGAACAATGAAAATGACAAAATGCACAAATCAGAGAGAAACAGAAGAACAAGAAAATTATTAAAATATGCTCTTTGTAGTACTGAAATAAAAGTGTGTATGATAATATACAAAAAAGAGTGAGGTGCATCTATTTATAATTGAGTCCCCAACTACACTTATGACTAAATCTTAAAATCAAATAATTACAATCAATCAAGAATTACACATATTACATTTAGTTAGAATTTTGCTTCCTAATTTTTATGGTAAACTAGAAGATCTCTTTAGGCACTTCCCTCTTGAACCTTCCTTGATGTGATGGGGCATCTTGCGAGCCTTAGCCTGGCTGTACGGGCGGTCTGGACTCCTCTCCAAGGTTTAGTGTGCAAACCCCCGCCAAAGTCCCTTGCACGCGAGCCTTAACCTCTGGTGCTCAAACTGGCGCATCTTGTGCGTTCGCCTAGGGCGCGACACTTCTCGTTCCTTCTTGAGAAGATGTTTGGCGCATAGCCCTCAATCATCGTGCTTCGTGGTTACCCTCTATGCCTCTGTCCTCACATGTAAGTTTGTCATCTTCTTTTTCCTCCGATTTGCGATTCAAATAAACGAAAACCCTCACTCAATAATCATACAACCTCAACCTCAATCATGCTTTCTTTTCCATTTTTGATAGAATTTCTGTCTTAATTTTTTACTTTACAACGAATTCTGAATAACGACACAATCTAATTTCTAATTTCACCTCAATTACCATTCAACCCTGACCCACCTGATACTTAAATTTTCACTTTTTGTCTCTCCAACAACATTTTGCTGCATCTGGTGTTAAATTCCAACCTTCCCCCCCCCCCCCCCCCAGCCTCCCTCTCCCCTTTCACTCCTCACCTTTTAATCCATAAACACAAGGGCTCAAATTAAAATTGTACAGAAAATCAGCACCAAAGAATCAGTCATTGGCTAGTTAATTTAATTACTTCTTCATATTTAATATCCTTTATACATTCCTTTATGTCAAACAATTATCCCACAGGATTAAAAGACTCGATTCAAACTTATCCTCACAACTACACTTCCTTTCTGCTACCATCTTCCAAGCTCTCAGCAGCACGACACACGCAGGCAAAAGAATCAAGCAAAAAAAAAAAAAAACCACTACCCGAAAGATTAAGACATTGCTGCTTATACACGCCTGGCATTCTGCTTTTTTGCCTCAATGGAGGCTCCATCATTAAGCATGTCCTGCGCATCAGTTTCCATTCCAAGCTTGGAGAGGGCAAGAGCTTGCATATAGAAGGCATTGGGCCATTCAGGCAAGCACACCTGAGCCTGCATGGCATCTCTCAAGGCAAGTTCTGGTTGACCAATCATCAAGTGTGAGAGGGCTCTTCTCACAAATACAGTACCAGAAGGAACAGACATCATTGACACCAACTGCATTCAGAAGGGGGGGGGGGGGGGGGGGAATATGACCAACTTTTAAATCAGAACACAAGTTGAAATTAGTTCAAATGGATGAAGAAAGGAAATTTAGGAACTAAGCAGACAGATCAAGCTAGAGCAATTCTATAATACCCAAAATAAATATGAAGCTTTATTTTGAGTAGCTAAAGAGAAGAACTTGGACCAGATACTTAATATATCAGCGATTCAGCAGGTTAAACTGCCTTTTGGAGTTTCAACAAAGGGCAACAAATATTTTCTAACAAAAAGAAAAAATAAAAATTAACTTATTTTTAATATAACATCCCAGTAGTAATCTTGTGAATAGTAAACAAATCCACCAGAAGAAGAAAGGTACCTTTGAGTAGTAATCAATAGCATTTTTAAAATCTTTGTCTCTAAATGCAATATCCCCAAATTTTTTTGTGTTCAGCATATCTTGAACCTGTTGTGTCCACTCTTGGAATGACAGCTTCACCAATAACACAGTGCCAGCAAATTAGACCATGAGAGAGACAAAAATGAAACTATGCATAGCCAATTATTTTGTAATATTGGGAAAGTAAAATAGCCGTAACCCACCTCATTTTCTGCACCTTCTTCATCTTTATAACCAGTTTTAAGCAAGATATCATGCACTGCAGTAAGATCCATCCTAGCACATGCCTTTCCAAGCGGGGAAAGCATAGTTGGCAGCACCACTGGGGTTCTTGATAGACCCATTAGAATATGTGATGCAACCTACGGAAAGCAATGGGAACATCTTAATTTAGTAGGGTTTAAGATGCATCAATACATCACACTCTCTAAAATTAAAATAGCAGCAAGTTCAATGACTTGAAAATTTCACCTCCTGTTTTTGAAGAGGTGCCACTGCTGAAAGGAGGAATTTGATATCAGGTCGATCTCTAGCCTCGTATTGAAGACATTTTGAAGCCAATTCAACCAATATGCTGGCATCTTCATTAGCATATTGTCCTTCCAGGGAAGAATCCATTAACAACAACAAATTCTTTCCTCTTATCAAATCCAATGCCTGGAGAATCAACAGTCACATAATAGTGTTAAAATTGATACACACAAAATTGACAGCAGATGTATTTGTAGCATACTCAGAAGCTTATAAGAACAAAGACCAAAACAAATAAATAAGCAGAAATCATAATGCCATCATTCACCAAAGAAGAAGCCAAAATCAAAACATCACACTCCCAAACTAGGGCCAGCCCAAGGATAAACAAGAGGAAGCACCATCCTTGAAACAGTGTAATACTCATCTGATTTAGCATCTGCGTTTGCATGTCCATATTAGCATATATATAATATTTCTTTTTTTTTTCTTTCCTTGAACCATCTTATGGGCCAAGGATAAAACTCACTATCACCTATAGGACTGTTCCAGAATAGCACAGTAGATATTAAGGACTTCTATGTTAGGAAATTTTGCACTCTGCTAACATTTTACAGATCTTACCTGATTTTCTAAGCTGCCCAACAATAAAAACTTCTTATGAAACCTGGTTGGAGGCCTTAATTACTTAATTAATTAAACAAGCTCCCAAATATACACAAAACAACACCAAAAGCCTCAGTTCAAGGTACTTCTTACATGTATAGAAGCATTATCACTGAATTCCAATCCCAACCTCAATTATCAAAAAGCCCGTTGCTAAGAAACTCTAGATAGATTCATCTAAATTCTACTAGAAAAGCAATTTTTCATCAATAAGAACTTTAAGAGCAGTATTAGCAGGGAAAAAACAAAACTAAATTTGGATAATAGAAAGTATCATACATGGCTGGGAGGGATATGCTTTCCACTTAAGAGATCCAGGAGAACAGTTCCATAACTATAAATCACACTCTCAGGGATGACCCTGCCTGCAGAGTTGAACATTCAAATAATTTAGCAGTGAAAGCATATCCATTCAGTAACTAAATCCCTTTCTTTTCAGAAGGGCTATAAAATGTCTGTTCTTTCTTATTTTAAGAATAAAAAAAAAAGGAACGCAAATTAGTTTGTTGAAATTGAAAATCCTAGTGGTCTAATAGGTGAACAAGTGAAATCAGAAGACCGTACCTGTCCTCAAAAATTCAGGAGGAGTATAAGCCAAGTTAGTACTGTAGCTTTTTCCATCCCGGCTATTTTTCATTATTCCAAAACTAGATAGTCGAGGATCACCATCCTGGCAAAAGATGAAATTAAAAGTAGCAAAGAAACCAAAAAGTTTAATGACAATGTTGATCTGCCTCCAGAGACAAGTCATAAGCATGAAGCACATATCAATCCATAATTTTACTTATAGAACATGGCAATTTAATATTTAGGAACATGGGTCTTGTTTTCTCTTTTTTTTTTTTTTTTGGTTTTTTGTTACTCTATCTATTAGTCTATCCCGCTGAAACAAACAATTTGGAGATCTCCCAAACCATAAAGGCCATGCCAGCCTTGCGAGGACAACCATTAATAAGACTCTCAAAATGAGAATGGATTGACATTCTAAATGTAATGAAATGTACTTAAATCTCATGTATGAGGGCAAAATCAGCAAGAAATGTTCCAGAACTGCGAAAGAAATACCATTTTCCACCCATTTTGAAAAGAAACCACATTATATCATAATCTCCAAAAGATTCAACTATTGAACCATACAGAATGTCGAAACTAATGGATATACTATTAAAACAAATATTCACCAATGTGGTAATACTAAACAAGGTGTTATTCAATCTCCCTCTTGAATGAGCCCCATTTACTAAAGCAGTGGAATCACAGGTAAGAAAATATTGTGATGAAAGGGAATGAGCAAATCGTACCTCATCAAAAAGAACTCTGTAAGCATTTAAATCGTGATAAATTTTAAGGTTTTCGGCGTTGCAGTGATCAAGGGTTTGCACAATATGGTAGGCAACTCTGAGGCGCATTTCCCATGGCAAAGGCTTTTTTTCCCCTGCATTACTCATAGTATTTCATAGATACACAAATGCAGGGTGTTTTTCTTTAATGCCAGTAAAAGAAAAGAAAAAATTTTAGAAATGAGCGAAGGCAGAAATGAAGGAAAAAGACATACAGTGGAAGAGATGCTTAGAGAGGGTATCATTAGGCATGTATTCAGAGACCAACAAGCGCTCGTCCCCCTCGGCGCAACAGCCGATCAAATTAACCAATCTCTTGTGCCGGACTTTCCCAACCCCTGCAGCTTCGTTAACAAACTGATGAGGGTCGGGCCAGGACTGCCTTGAGAATCGCTTAATGGCCACCACTCCATTGTTCTTCAGCTTCCCTCTGTACACCACGTTGGGAGCCTTCTCTCCACTCTCTGACACTATGAGGTCACTGCTGAATCCGTTGGTAGCTGCTCGCAGCTCCACCAGGGCGAACTCCTTAAATGCGGGCACTGCCGGCTGCTCCGCGTTGTCATCTGAAAATTAATAAATAATAAATAAATACAATACAATACTCCATGGACGAATGAGATGTTTATTTCTCTACGAAGCAAAGAAGGAAAAGAGAAGGACCTAGATCTGAGTTGGTTTGTGGTGGAGGAGGAGGCGGAGGAGGAGGAGGATGTTGATCAGGGGAGGGAAGGTGGGTGGTTTTGGACTGAAAGCAGCCCATCACTGTCCCTCTGCCTTTGATCACATATAATATATTATATAATATGCGCAAAGGAAGCAGGAGCAGGAGGAATCAAAACTATTGTGTAGTATCAATTGGAAGTGGGAACATGACTCGAGTTTGGGGAGGCAAGACAGACAGAAGTCGGATGAAAGCAAGTTGACTAGAAAAGGAGTTGAAATCACTTTGAAATCACCTATTTTTTTTTTTTTTTTGAGAAAAACAAATGAACTTTTATTTTTGTTATTATTTGTCAAATGATCAAGCGAATTTAGATTTTGTTTAATGCAATAAATAAAATAATATGATAATTTTATATTATATTTAATTAAAAAATATAATATTACATAAAAGATTATCATTTTTTTATATGTAATGATTAAATTTTTTTAAAGCTGAAAAAATTATTTTTAATTTTTTTAAAGTTGAAAAAATTATTTTTAATTTATGAAATTAAATTTATATATTTTTTATATCATTAAAAATTATATCAATAATTTAAATTATATAAATTTAAAAAAAATAATTTTAATCAATAAATAAATTATTATATCTTAATTCTTATAAATGTTAAATATAAAATAAAATAATATTATTTAATTTAATTTTATATATAATTTTATATATTATTTTATTTTATTTTATTTTATAATAATTTTATATAACAAACATAAATTTATCACATATATTTTTTAAAGAAATAGTAACTCCACGCAAGTTTGAATTGGTGATATATAAATCTGATAAGTAATAGTAGTAAAAAATAATAATAATACAAGCTTGCAGTGCCTTAAGGTGAGAGGAGCGCAATTCAATTCAAGAAAAGAAAAGGGAAAAAGAAAGTAGTCACATGACTTGCTGAACATCACCACGTGAACTCAAATTCAGTATAATTTATAAAGAAAGAAAAGGAGGTTTCGATTTGAAATAAAAGATTTTATATCTTTTAAAAATTCTTTAATCATTAAATTAAAAAATTTAAGATATTATTATTATTATTATTTATTTATTTACTCTGTAGTGTGATCGTGGACTCCTTCCTGAATAATAACTCCACTCCAATCGTGTCAATGTAAATAGTATCTACGACTGGGTTGAGTCAAGTAACCTCTCCAATTCCAATTTGTTTTTCTTTTGCTTTCCTTTCTACTTTCTACTTTGACTTCTCCAAATTTCGTTTCTTTCAATAATAATGTGAAAAACACATAAGCTTCAGAAGAGTGAAGACACGGACTGTAGCAGTATGCGAAAAACAGAGAGAGTCTGCAAAAATCAGACTTTCCCCAAAAGCCACTGCCATTTCCAGGATTGCCTTTTACCTTTCTTTTTACCAGCTTTTCATTTCATCATCTTCTATTCATTTAGATTAGTAATGGTTTTTTTTTTCTTTTTTCTTAAAATTAATATATTGAGTTAAAACTTACTACTCTACTTACTAAAAAAGAAGGAAGCGTCTTTCTAAAAGCAAAAATAATTTTCTTCTTTTGTTTTATTGGTACAAAAAAGCAAAATAATTCACTTCATCATCGCTGCAATCAGAATATGTGTGAAAGTTCAGATAAAAGCATCATCTATATATATATATATATATATATATATATATATATATATATATTTATTTGTAAGTGCTACCAGTGGGCTTGGTCCCTTGGGCATTAACAAACCATCGAAAATCTAAGAAATCAACCATCCACAGAGGCCCATTTTAATCATGGGTGATGAAGGCCCATTTTGAATTTCAATTAATTAAACAGCAATTCCATTGAACATTGTCTCATTTTATCCCCCTTCCCTCGGCCTTGATGTCATTGCCATTATTTTTTTTTATTTTTTATTTAAGGTTGGCAATGATTGATCCTTTATCACGGTAGATCACAATCATTTTTTTTGGGTTAAACAATTGTATAATTGTAGTAAGTATATATGTAGGTGAAATTAATGCACCCCTACAACTATGTTTGTATCCCCTTGCTTGCAATTGCAACCTTACTTACTACTTACTTTAAATTCTATTTTTGTTTGATAAATAATACTTAACTTAAATTCGAATTTTAGTATTTCACAGCCAATCAGATTAACTTAAATTCAAATTTTAGTATTTTACAGCTAATCAAATAGAGGGATTTACTTTCTCAAATGATGAGTTTGACCTTTAGCAAATCTAAAATCAATAACCATACATATAGATTTGTATTTAATACATTGTCAATTTATAAATTAATGAATCCCATTCTAATAATAAATTTTAACAAAAAATACTTATAAATTTAAGTATTTAATTGAAAAAAATTAGACATTTAATTTAGCCTGAATCCTGAATCCCACCAAAAATAAATTTTCTTGCACTTTCTTAAGAGAACCAAACATCATTTGTTTTTCTTTGAGTTCGTGGTTTGCTGTAAAAATAGAGGCCTTCAATTGTAATTGTAAGGATTTGTTTTAAGTTTCGAACTAAGAAAAACCAGGAAATTAAGAACAGGGAAATGAACATAGATTCAGGAATATTTGATAGTCACGTAATATTAACACTAATTAATAATCAATATTCAAGTGAGATGCTAACTAAAAAGAACTTTTCTTAAAGTAAAACGTAAGGTATACATTACTGCCATTACAGTCGACCCCTAGAACCGGACTGGAACTGGCTTCTTGTAGTTATGCACTGTCTGATTTTTCTTGAATTTGTGTTCATTTCCTGGTTTTTTTCTTTGTTCATTCTTAAAATCGAAGGCCTTCATATTTACAGCCAACCACGAACTCAAAAAAAAAAAAAAACAAGTGGTGTTTGGTTTTTGGGAAACTGTAAGAAAATCTAATTGTTGGTGGGATTCATCAAGCTAAATTAAAAGGTTTAATTATTTTTTTCTCTGATCATCTTGAAATGAAGGGTTAAGAAAAAATCAGGGGTTTTGCCAGGTGTTAATTCTTTTCGAGGATTCTGAGTGTAAGATTGCAAATATAATCAAAATTAACTTCTGTTAAAGTTCTGAAAAATGTGAGATTGATGGGAAATAGTATAGAGGTTGGACAACTATTCCCAAAACTGAAAATTGTGTTTGACTTTAAATTTTTTTAATTAAGTTATTCATTAATGAAATATCATATTGTGATTTTATGATAGTGTAAAGATTCATTATACTAACAATACATCAAATACAAATACTACATATAGAAGGAGATATCAACTTACATAATTTAAAATTTTAAAAAAAATTTACACATTTTTCTAAATCTTGATTTTAATAGATCTAAAAATAAATAAGTAAAAATAGGAAAAAAATAATTTAAGATCATTTTTGAATCTATTAAAATCAATAATTAAAAAAATATAAAACTAAAAAATTTTTATAAATATATATCTACTTATATTAGTATAATTCTTACATTTTTTCCAACATTTGAATTAAAATTAAATTCATGACTTATTTAAATTAAAATAATATTTTTAAATTTAATAATTTTGTTCTAATAATTTAAAACTATATAAAAATTATACTAATGTAAATAGATCTACTCTATATATGTAATTGCGAATTGATTGTGATATATATGTGTCGGATATTTTATAGTATATACGCTTCTTTGCTAAGTAATAAAGGCAAAAATAATCAATAAGTAATATTTTACAGCATATATAGGTCCTGAAATGATCATTGGCAATGTATATGAAAAAGATTAAAATCAATTCTAAAAAAGAAAAATCAATAAAGTTGTCAATCGTCATCGTAATCATATACTAACTGAGAAGACGTTTGGAGCCCGGGTAGTGAACCGGTGCTTATCCACGAAATTGGAAACAAATAAGAAAAAAGCAGAAAGAAACCTATATCTTATACCGCACAGGATATGTGACAACCTGGCCACTTGCTGATTAAGCTGCTGAAAAATTAAAAGGCAACGAGCAAGCAAACATTGAAAGAGATACCTAACCTTGCTTATGCACTTACATCACATTTATTTATAACTATTGATTATTAAAAAATAAAATTGATATTTTAAAATATAATAGAATGATATGATATTAATATAATAAAAAATAAATTATAAATATGATATGATTTAAAATTATAATAATAATTATATATAAATTTAATAAAATAAAAAAATTATATTTTATATTTTTATATTAATATAAATTATAACATATAATTTTTTATATAAAATATTATATAAATATAGTTTAATATTTTATATTGTATAAGTATATGTATCGTCAGAATTACTTTCAAACAAAGCATTGATAAACAACAGGAGATAACAAGCCGGGCTGCAATTGAATACGTGCTGCTGCTTTTCATGTATAAAAAAATATCATGTTAATCTGAATATCTTATATTGAGCAGCACGGATTGGAAAGTGAAGTTGAACACAAAAGTCTAAACCTACCCTATTGGAGGTTTCCCCAGGAAAGGACATCATGTTTAGGCACTGATGTTGACTCCTGCGAACGCAAATTTTCCATTTGCAATTGCAACTGAATTCGTCTTCTAGCGCAACTTGCTTTGTCTTTGATTATTGTTTTTTTAAATTACATCTTTGATTACTTTTGCGTTACGGAAAATTAGTATTAGTAATTAATTACATATAAACAGCATTCCTTCAACTTGCAAGTTTTTTCTATTTCTACCTATTATCTCTGGACTTTTAATTTGTTCTCTTTGACAAGTGTAAGTGACGCCTAGCTAGATTCATGAATCCTTTTCACCTATTTGATTAGGTTTTGTTTGAACTTTGAATGGCCGTCAAGAACACTGTTACAAAATTCTGCTACTATTGGAAGTTAAAAAAAAAAAAGACGCAAATACTAGATAAATTAGATTTCTATAATTCAGCCTTCACTACCTCACATCATATCACATCACATGGTACTCTCTGAATGATATACTTCACAGCTCGAAGCGTATGACTGTTGATAAACGGTGAGATTAATTCTGCAAGATTAAAAATAAAAATAAAAGATTAATTATTGTAATAATAATATTAAAATTAATAATAAAATATATATTTACATATAAAAATAATAATAATAAATTATCAGGGATATTAAATAAAAATTGTATTTAAATATAATTTTAAATTATTTCATATTTATAAAATTAATAAATATTTAAAAATATTAATTATTTTAATATTAAATAATA